GGCTGAGGTGATCCCAACTCTTCTCTATGGTTGTGAAACTTGGGTGACCTAAAGGGACCACCTGAAAAGCCTGGAACGCCATCACCAGCACCACCTCTGGAAGACCCTTGGCATAAATTGGGAGGACTGTCACACAAATACCAATGCCTTCGCTGATGCCAACACCACCAGTATGGAAGTGTTGATCATTAAAACACCAGCTGTGATGGACACGGCCCTATGTGCACATCTGATGTATGTGTGACAAAACAACTGCTATGCTCCCAGCTCAGCCAAGAACAGAGGACAAAGAACATGCAGGGGCCAGAAGAAACACTTCAAGGACATCCTCAAGGCAAACATTAAGAAACGTGTCATTGATACCACAAATTGGGAAGAACTAGCCCAGGACAGGACCACATGGTGATGCCTTGTGAGAAGGCTCATCTTACTTTGAGAAAAATTGCTTTGCCCTAGAAGCAAAAAACAATCCCCGCAACAGAAACAGAAGGAAAGGAAACAAGACAGAGAAATCTGTGGTCCAACCCTCCCTTTACCCACCACCTGTGGCGTTTGCCAGAGTCTGCCATCAGACTCATCTACAACTCTTTACTTAACCCGTGGGAGCAATCATCCTAGACCATGAGGGAGTGCTGATGACAAGACAGCAAGTGTGAGCGGGTAGAGGCAGTAGCGTGACACTAAACCATGCAGATCCTCATACAACTAGGTGAAGTCTCCATTTGCCGATCTCTGGCCATCGCTGAACTTTCAAAGAATCATTAGCCATGGCATGCCACCTCATGCAAGCCAGCTTGAAAGCATGTTGGTAACCTCAAAGCTCAGTTGGTGAATAAAAGGTGGCTGAGCCCATTCCAACAGAGGATGCGTTTGTCTACCAGATGAGGGTGCTATAGCATTGCACACCTCTAGTTGCTAACTCAGGAGGCTGAGAGGCACCTCAGTAAGTTTTGCAAGAACTTTTCCCATAGCTGCATTTCACCTAGAAAAATAAAGTGAATATTACGTGACCAGCACTATGAAGGCAACAAGCTCTCTGCTACCACTGGTATCTAGTGACTCCAGTCCAATACTTCATCTTCCACTGAGAAATATTTCCCTTGAAATCTACAGCCAACTAAATATGGACTTCTGTCTAGTGCAGCATTTCACAGCTTTTTCTAGCTGATGAAAGAAAAATCTTCACAGCTGCCTTGCATTTACTATAAAAAGCAGGAAAAAATAGAAGAGGTTTAAGGAGACCATTTGTTCTCGGAAGGCAAAAGTATTACTTATATCAACATAGTGCCCAAAAAATCACAGGCACAGACCAGATCCCCCTTGCCTACCCATTAAATATCCACTGCTTTGTTTACAGGCAGCAGAGGGGAAAGGTGTTACAAGTCATCAAGGAAATACATGGGGAAGCTGTAAATGAGCCTCCAGCCAGTCCAGGGACTTCCGAGTTTTGCACGGGAAGTGCCAGCTTCTGTGCAAGGTACAGAATGCTCCTTCCCATCACCCAAAGAGAAAATCTTTGCCTATTGCCACCTAGTTTATATCCTTGATACTGCAGCAGGCTCCACCTGGTTTTCCACACTCAACCTTAGTAGCATATATGGGAAAAGAGTGCTTTCACAGCAGGATGAAGCCTCTAGTATTTGAAGGTGGTGGCTTTCAGTTTGCGCCAGGCACCTGCTTATGGAGAGGGTGTTACCTGGTATTTGCTTTTCAGCCTATACCCGGATGGCATCCTAGATGTTTGTTAAAAAACCCTTTTGAAAAGGAACCATTACACCTTCTGGTAAGCTGAAGCTGAACCCAGGAAGATATGTGCACTTCAGAGAGATGACCCTAACCATAACCAACACAGGGCCAGGGAGTTGCCCGCGACAAAAGGAAGTTGTGGTATACCAAAGTGACCAACTCCATAGGTAGCCACAGGTAGGCTGGGCATTGCATTACTGGACTCTGCTCCTCTTCCAGGTTTATTTGTGGGTTTGCCCATGTTGCAAAACCACTGCAGGTGTCAGGTGAGAGAAGATCATTCCAGAGGTCAACAATGTAGTTGCACATTTTCAGAGCTAAAAAAAGCTCTAGTCACTGCTCCCATTTTAACCTATCCATAGTTCAAAGCCTTATTCTTCCTGGGCATAGATGCTAATGCTTAGTGTGGGGATAGTGTTGACAAAAAACCCACACAAAGGCCTAAGTGGGTGGGGGCTTATTTCAGCAAAATATTTCTGGAAAGAAAGGAATGGGCCACCCAAAAGCAACTCCCGGTGGACATAAAAATCTGTGACCCATTCCCATCCATGGTTGCCTCATGGTCACAACAGACCCCGTATCTCTGCAGCAGCTCTTTAGATTCAGCGATCCTGATGGGCAACTTGCCAGGAGGCTTAAAAAGCTGGCAGTGCTGCTATTTCCCAGGTAATCACACACACACACTCGGGCATAAGCAGTTAGCTGTCTGCACAAGGCAGCAGCATTTACAGCAGCAGCAAACCTCCCTGCATTCTGCACTGGATTTGGGGTCCTTGGGTGAGGTTCACACAAACCAAAGGGCAGACTGACTCAGAAGCATTTGGGCAAGTTGGTAAGGTTCCAGGGATCCAAAAGACCCATAAGAGAAACAGCCAAAACAGCTCCCAGATTCATAGATTCATAGATTAAGGGTCGGAAGGGACCTAGTAGATCTTCTAGCCCGACCCCCCGCCAGGGCGGGAGAACAACAAAAAACCCCAAAAAGAGAAATGGGACTCAAACGAGTCCAGCCAGGTAGGCATCCAGCCTCTTCTTAAAGACCCCCAGGGTAGGGGCCAGCACCACTTCCCTTGGAAGTTGGTTCC